AAAATCTTAATTTTAATGTGAGATCTAGGGATGATCCATTTGTAAGACTGTGTATAATATTCTAGAAAAATGCTTAGGTCATGGAGCAAAAGTTTTATAATGCTGCAGCTGCAGATTATTAAAAAGAGAACTGTGTCTTCCAAAAGAACCACACTGATTTTAATGAAAGGCGCTTTCATATTTCAAATTTGCAATAGCCTTGTAAACTGCTTGAAGCAGCCCACACATAGTAAAAGTAATTATAAGCTTACAGTACACTAGTGGGCTGACATTTCAAAATGCAGACAAAGAGAATTTTGTTTTCTAAAGAAAAAAATTTCAAAAGGCAGGGTTCACAGCACTGAGTACATTCAGGGAAATGGATACAACGAGAATGAACATCTTGGGAAGTATGAGATGAGAAGAGAAGCTCAAAGAGCCAATTGCTCTTGATGTGACTGTGGCTGGCTAAAATTCTACTTTGTGAGTGATAGCCACTGTTAAAACAGAGTGCTTTTTAGTAGCCAGATGCTCAATTGTGTTATTATATAGAATGTGTAAAGTGTCAACTTCTTTTTTCACCACTTTTGGAAAGAGCAGCACACCTTACATCTTTACAAATGTATTTTCAGAATAGATGACAACACAGCTCTCCTGTCCACATAGGTTTGCTATGATTAGAAATAAGCTCTTCTGCCTTACTAGTTTCAGACCTATTTATAATCTTACCACAGTTGTCTCAATGTCTCCTGGTGAGGGGGTGATTTCATCAGGGGAAGTTACAGAAGAGCGAGTAGTGCGTGGAGTTCGTGGAGAAGGGAGCGTATCCCAGGCGTTGTATCCACTTGGAGGGGGAGTTGGCATCTGAACCCCTGAACGCTGGCAGCAGTTCTCTGGATTAGACATCCATGCTTCAAGTAACTTCTCCCTGTCCCAGTCTTCAATAAAGATACAGATACAGGACATCATGCAGCTGGCAATATTTGAAATATATTTTGTAACTGCACCCTCCAAAACATATATAAACATTAAGCTAAAAAATTTAGAAAAAAATAAATATGATAAAGTGTAAGTGAATGGAACTTTAGGCATTAAATTTTACAGAACACATTCCAAGATAACACATGTATTTATGTAACTAAATACACTGCAAGCATTTCCTTTCCCTGTAATATCAGTCTTAAGTAAAATTATTTTTATTATTTATTTACAGCAATTGTAGTAGCTAGGAGACTCAACGAGAAACTAGAATTGCAGTGACTTGCAAAGACAGATCAAAGTATAACAGCCCTTGCACCACAGAATTTTCAGTATTTTCTCTTTCTATGAAAAAAGTAATTGTTCAAAATGGATTCACTTTTATCTATTGTGTTCTTTTAAGAAGATGAAGCGAAGTGCTACAAACAAAGGAAGACCAAGATACAACTGGATTACAGAAAGATTTGCGACCTAATGAGTTACAAGTGTTTACAGCACGAGTGATGTATTTCGGGGGAGGGGGGGGAACCCTCCACCCGATTGCAAAAAAGATTTCATATATTCTTACATTCTTACTACATTTTAATTCTATAAATGTTACTGAATTATTTTCTTTTATCATAATTAACAGTGCCTACTTACACACAAAAAAGAACCACTGAAACAAATTCTACTATGTATGAAGATTTTAAAGCCAAATCAAATTTTTCTTAATTATTGTTTGAAATGTTTTCTGTCTCTGATTCTTAATAGTAATACTAAAGCTATCTTAAGAATAGTGATTTTTTTTCTATTAAAAATATTTAAAAGTTCTCATTTAAATGTAAATCTATCCAATTCCTATATGTATTTGAATTTAAGACCATCAACATTATGGGGAACTAGAAGTCAGGTGAACTAGCATTTCAGAAGGAAAGAGAAATTTCCCAATTTTTTCCTTTTTTTTTTTTTTTTTAATGTTAGGTACTCCTACAGGAAACTCAATGTTACTAACCAAATGATCTGTCTTATTTTTGTTGAATTTTAGATTTTATAAGAAAACGATATATTGTATTCCAGTGCTGTATTAATACTAGGGAAAAAAAATCAAATATACATATTCTAATCACTGAACTTAGCAAATATATTGCCTCTGTCAAATAATGATTGCTATCATTCTAACATCTACTCCCTCCTAATATGAAAAAACGCCTTTGAGCTGGAGATGATTTAGTGATCAGGTGCTTACTTAAGCTAAAACATATCATGGGTTAGTTTAATTTAATTTGTGTAAAGATGTAGACCCTAAACATATTTACACTTCGAAAATTGTAATTTTTATTAGCATTTGACTGCCACAATAGCATTTTTTAATCTTGGCTCTAACTCTTCATACTTCTGTCTCCTAATTAAAAAAATAAAAAAAGAAAGAAAAAAGAAAAATACACTAAAGTCTTACAGCCAGTCTCAGTAAATTGATATAGTTGTACCATGACAGAAAGCAAAGTTTGTTGGATTAAATATTACATGTTTGTTAACTACTAAAAGTGGTAAAGAAGAATGACCTTTCCAAGAATTTAAAACATGTTTTTCATACATTAAGAATTAAGATAAGATTTCACATTATCCTTTTATGAATTTCAAGATTGAATGCAAAAAAATTACAATTTGGCATTTGATGTTTGCCAACTGCCTAAGCCTTTGTAAATAGCTCAGTTATTCCCTTTACTAGACTGAACCAATTCTATGTCTTCATTTCAAATAAAATAAATTCTGTTTGAGTAATTTCCAGTGTATGGCTACAGCTACAGGCAAAACAGTTGACTTTCTCATGACTTGCAAATTGTCTGCGCTTCTTTCTCCATACTGGCCAATTGCATTAAGTTACCGCTACATCACTAGGCAACATCAGTAGAATGACTTTTCCAACACAGACTGGTTTCTTCTCAACTTTCAGTCCCTGCTTGCTAGATGCTGGCAGATATTTCTCCACAGTTTCCACCAAACTCGCTGCTTTTGGACTTACCATGGACTGTGCTGCAAGTTTGAACAGCAGTGCCATCGTTTTCCTCTTCAAAGTATCTGCACAGGTTAGACAATCTGCCTACCCACTTAGTCAAATACTTAGTAATACTTAGCCTTAATGAGAGTGTTTTGAGAATCAAAAATAGCATTCAAACATTGCACATATTATAAATACATTAGAAAAAATAAATAATCGGTATTAAAAAACATACATGCAAAGACTGTGCCTTAAATATCACCAGACTGGCACAAGTTCAGGTTGACTTAATTCAGTGTTAAAAGAAACGCAAATACCAACTACAAAAAATAATGTAAAAAGATACGAGCTTCAGGTACCATACCTCCTTGTGAAAGTCTGCCAAATGTTGTGGGTTTAAAATAATGTTTTCCCATTTCACTTTTCCCTCTCCTTTTTATTTTAACAAGGAACACACAAAAATAATAGTGTATGAAAGCTTAACCCAGCAATACAGTGATGAGCATGCAAACCATTAGCTGCCTGAGTAGTTCCTTTGGCATACAGTAACAATGTAGATGCTTCAGTAAGCATAAGTTTTGAATCACTGAATCAAAGCCTAAAAAGCTTCCACTGAGTTTCAGAGATACTTTTGTTTGGAGTGAACACACTGAATTCAGTATGTGCCCATTCTGACAACCCCAGTTTAAATTACATGACAAGAGAGCAGTGATTTCAGTGAAATTAAACTAGCCACAGACACACACATGGAAAAGTATACCCTGTATTAAAGAGAATAACTTCAAAGGACATAAAACCCCGAGAAATTTTCCAACCATTCATTACAGTGGTCAGACTGCTTTTATTGCAACAATAAATAAATAAATAAATAAATAAAATTTTGATCCGGCTTTATACACAAATATATAGAGGCAGAAAACCAATCGTCTCACAAAAATACATACAATGAATTTGACCTTTTTTTGACATATAAAACCATAGTTCTACTTCTGTGTCTCTCTCCAAAATATGAAAGCTCTGTTTCTCCACACTGCTTAAGTTAAATGCCTTCCACTATGATTCCTAGTTTGAATCACTTTCCTCTCAGCTTCCCTGTCTGCCTCAGTGCTTTCTGACATACCGCAGCTGTACTTCTTTCTGAAATATGGTGTGAAATAGGAAAGTTCTGTTTTGCCACACTGCTTAAGTTAAGATGTCTTCCACTGTAATTCCTAGTTTGAATCACTTTCCAATCAGCTCCCCTGTCTGCCTCAATGTTTTTTTGACAGACTGCAGCTGTACTTCTTTCTGAAGTACTGTGCGAGCTGTTTCCTGGTATTTGATTAACCATTACTTGTCTCTTACTTGGAAATAAAAAGTAAACATACAACTGCAATTTTGATTTTGCAGAAAACAAATTCTTTAGTTTTTAAGGTTTTGGATTACCATGTGCCCGAAGTAGAGCTTCTGCAGTAAAGAGCGGGGCTTGGAGCATGTCAGCAGATTCCACGATCAGCATATCCTTAAGCCTTCGCAGGTCCTGAAGTCTTAGTCCCTCATATGGCTTTGAGAAGAAGAAAAAAGACAATTCATGTCTAGCAGTATCTTCCAGTTAGTCTCTAATGCCATAATTAAAATGAAAACATTCAAAGCACTTTTCCTCATCATCATCCCAGCTGTGAGGTAGTATGTGACAAAATGTATTAATTGGGCAGACCAATGAGCATGCAAAGCTATACTGAAACACGGTAATTTTGCTGTATTTATTCTATGATCTTTGTACATTGAAAATCTAAAAGACAGTATCTCTAGAGTTCTCCGTTATAGTTGGAGGCCATGTTCAAATGATAAACTACCCTAACACTGACTCTCTCTCAAAAAGTGCTACATTTTCAAAGAATCCAGCTGAGTTTTGAAGGAAATGGTATGAAAATGCATGACTAGATTTGAGTTAAGGATTTCAGAAGAGAGTGAGAGAAAGGACAGGTTAACATACACAGCATATAGATTATCTGACATTAACTTTATATATTGAGACTGAGTAACTTTGAATTGATCTAGAGGAGGATAAATTGAGACATTAGATAGATAGAAGGGATAAGTTTGTGAACAGAATCAGGTACGGGCCTTTTGAGGCAATATTCACGCTCACAGAAGTGGAGAATAAGGTATGAATAGGATAGATGAGACATGCAGTTAAGAGATCACACAAACAGTGAATGGTCGAAGTTGGAAGGGACCTGCGGAAGTCATTTGGTCCAACCCTTCTGCTCAAGCAGGGTCCTCTAAAGCCAGCTGCCCAGGATTGTGTCCAGTAAGATTTGAGTATCTCCAAGCTGGGGGTTCACCGTACATGAAGATGTCAAAACTCTTTTTGAGAAGGAATGGCCAACTCTGATAGCCCTATGCAGTCAGAACAGATCATCCAGCTACCTTTCTGGTCTGGAGCTCTGTCCCTTTATTACAGTATTAGAAAAAGGTCAAATTAGAAAGACAAAAAGGCAGTAATTTTAGGATTCTGAATTAGCTCCAACCAAGATACTAGAAATGCATACACATATTTTGCAGACTCCTTTTTAAAACTAAGAAAGGGAGAACAAGACAGCAAATAACATATTTGTTGAATGTTACACAGGTAAAATACCCAAAAGGTAGAAAGAGAAAAACAATGGGAGGATGTATACTGTCCATCTGTAATGGACACAGGAAGAGTATGTGAAAAAATTATTCTTACGTGCCTTAGTTTTATTTATATAAAGGATAGCTAACAAAAGATTTAAAGCATCTGAGATAAGACTGGTATGTGCTCAGGACTAATTAGGAACCTGGCCACCAAATGTCAACTGGCTTCACCAATTTGGAAATGAAAGTACACAGAGCAACAGCAATAATAGATAACCACATATAAGGCCACACATCATTATTATTTACTATCTGTATTTTGCTTTTATGTAGAACATAGTCCAGGACTCTCCAGTGCTAGATAATATGCACAGATATGCATGCATATGTACATAGACATGAAGCAAGAGACTGGTTATGTCCTTGGAAGTTTACAATCTATGTAAAAGTCCACTGTGCACTGTGCCCTTTGAGAAGAACAAGCAGAAAGCAGATGAGATGGATACCCTGGGCTTCTATATGATTCTGGATTTTTGAGACACCTACTCTAAAAAGGTAACATGTTTCCTACATTGTAGGTATCATAATAGACTCTATTAAACGCATTTAAAAATGTAACTAACTCCCACAAGGACCTCTTCCATTAGCTAGTCAGTAAAAATCCAGGAACTTCCCAATATTACAAACTTTGTGATTGGCAGGAGTAATGGTACCATGGCTCTGCACTGGGTCTTTGTCCTTTTTGAGAAAGCACAAAAACCAGAAGAGAAATGGACTGTGAGTGTCCTGACCTTCATCTTGATTGTCCAAGGGAGTTTCTGTATGTCCTTCCACTGTCGATCATGCATGACTCAGTAAAGGACAATCTGAATGTTAATGGCTTGCACTGAAATAAATCTGGGCCACTTGATTCATAGCGTGCTGGAATTTGGCTGACCTACTTAATTTCTTACAAAAGAAATAATTTCTAAAAACATGTCAGAGACACAGGGACACAAACAGCTGGGTGCCTGCATGATTATAATTGTGTGAATATACTGCAAAAGTAGAAGCAAAGAGTAAATCCTCTTGACTGCATCTGAACTACATTTTGAATTGCAATTGTAAAACAAGTAGCTTTGTCAGCACAACAGTACTCAACTCTTGGAAGACTACATATATCATAAAAAGAAATGTCTTTTCTGTCAAACCTGCAAAATATATGCATATTTTAGGCCCTAGCATTTTATTCTGAAATGCAGATATGCTCTAAATTATATTTAACTGATTGGTTCTAGGTCAAACACTGGCAAGGATCTCCTATGAGTAGCAGACGCTCATATTATCTCAGCTGGAGCATTCCACACAACCCAGCAGGGATTTTTGGATACTGCGGTTTTAGAGAATCCTAATTTTATCTCTTTAAGTAATGAGGAAACTATTTCTCAAGAATGTGTTTGTTTCATAATTGAAATGAATTTGTTTCATAAAATGATACATAAACCCACAGGAGAAGCTGAAAGAAAGGAAATTTCAGGCTGGCACTATCCAGCACCTTAATCTGAAGATTAAGACTCACATCCAAAATGAAGGCTTTATACAATGAGAACTCTTAAAAATGTTAATGCGTACAAGTCTTGTAGAGACTTATGAAGACACAGTCTTTAGTTATAAGGATGTATATCATTTATGTAATACCATAGGTTTGTTTTTAACTGCTTCAAACATTGATGACAATACACCGTAAAGGATTTTGATTACAGCTTATGATGCTCAGACCTCCTTTTAATATTATTTTATGGAGGAGCTCTTTATTGATATTTGTTCTGAAAAAGGCACTGTTCCAATATTAACATCATTTAACTGTATAACCATTTTGGAATATACTATTTGAATTACTACTTTAATGCACTGCTGAGCTTCTCATTACAGACTTCAACACTTTGGTATTCTCAAGAGCCCTTCATTTTAACTGTTTTCTTCTTAGGCTTTTACCACTAATACATAGATATCATAAATTATGTATCTGTTTTTCTCATGGAATTACTTTTAGTATGTAAGCTGATTAACAGTTAATTTCAAACTATTATTATTTTATTCACTTTTAAAGTACCATTAAAATAGGAAAGGGCAAAGTAACTCTTTGCTGCAGTGATAAGTATATCATTAAATGGTGTCACATATACTTCATGTAAATATCCTCCTTTATGGGTGGATGGAGTTCTATTGTTAATGGAGTCATACATTAAAAAAATTATCTATACTCCATTTAACTCATGCAAGCGTGGCTGCATTATATGTACATATATGTCTTCACCACCTGTAGTCCCCTTCTCTCCTTTCACTTAACAAACCATTCTCTATCTGTAGAGACAAAGTACATTCTAAGCATTTGTCGTGGTCCAAGCCCAGCCAGCAACTTGGAACCACACAGCCGCTCGCTCACTCCCCCCCCATCCTTCCTCCCCCTGCTCCGGGCGGGCTATGGAGGAGAATCGGAGGAATATAACTCCCACGGGTTGAGATAACAGCACTCCAGTAACTAAGGTATAATACAAACCACTACTGCTACCAATAATAATGAGAAGAGCAATAACAAGGGGAGAGGACACAACCGCTCACCACCCGCCGACCGATACCCAGCCCGACCCGAGCAGCGATCTGGGCCTTCCGGGTAACTCCCCCCAGTTTATATACTGGTCATGATGTGCTGTGGTATGGAACACCCCTTTGGCTAGTTTGGGTCAGGTGTCCTGTCTCTGCTTCCTCCTGGCTTCCCCTCCTCCCTGGCAGAGCATGAGACTGAGAAAGTCCTTGGTCAGAGTAAACATTACTTAGCAACAACTAAAAACATCGGTGTTATCAGCATTGTTCCCAGACTGAAAGTCAAAAACACAGCACTGCACCAGCTACTAAGAAGGAGAAAAAATGACTGCTGTAGCTGAACCCAGGACAGCATTTTAGATAATTCTTTGTACTTATGACATTTGCATTATATATATATTTATACAATACCAATTCTGGAATTGAAGAAAACCATTCAAACTACTATACATTCAATAAATCTGTTATACATTCGCTAGCAGTGTGTTTCTACAGTATTCAGTGGCACATATGTAAAATGAATGAAGACATTATACACTTTGCTATTGCACAATGTATTTCACTGAGTGTGACTGAGAGCCAAATCTCTCCTGGATGATCTGCACTGAAGTACTGCTCATTCCCAGGTGTTTCTTAAGTAAGCTTAAAACATGGCATGATGTGTTTGAAGTGAAGGTGCCTGTCATCTTCCAGGGATACATCAACAAGACATATATGCTGCCATAGTAGAATAAACAGCAAATAAAAAGACTGTGCAAATAAACCAACAAAAATCTATAAAAGCAGTTTAAAAAGTAGTGACGGTCTTATTATTCAGTTTAATTTCAGTTAAATTAGAAAGATAAATATAAACATAGATTTCATATAACAATTTTCTTTTCGAGATTGATCATCAACGAAGTAAGAGAAAAGAATCAAGACAAATAAAGTGATCCTAGATATTCTCCTGGGTTGTTTTCTAATACTCTAATACTGCCAACATATCATAAATGGATTCTTTTGCTACAACTAACTTTGTGTTAAGCGAGTTACACTTTACGCTCCATTCTTAACTTACTTAGCATTTCCATTTTATACAGGGAAATACAGATTTGTGTATGTCGGTACATTGCTTTCCTTTCAAATTGCATTTTGTGGAAACGCACTCAATAATTTTGTTTGTGTTTTGAAATTATTAGGGTCTGTTTGCTACCCACTTAACTGCAGTCTCTAATTTGATCAGTAAAAAAGTTTGAGGTGTACTAAACCCAAAATAAAATAGAAATGCTGCTTTAAAAATATGCTTCAGTAAGCACTGTAGTAAAATAAGATTTTAAAAGGTTGGGTAACTGTATAGCAGAAATAGATTTTATTCAGAAACCCTCTGGAATGAGTAAACTGAAGTGCTGGAAGATGGTCATCTCTTTGCTGTTGGGCTCTGAAACTTGAAATATGAGTCTACTCAGCAACCTGAATTTCTTGACAGCTTGAGAGCCTCTGTAATCAAAGAAAGGTATGTGCAAGTTATTTTTTTCACTATTCACAAGTGTTTCAATTCTAAACATGAGCACTGGCATAATTCCTTGGTAATGTTTCAACGTGAAGAACAAATTGAATTGGTTCTCAGCATCAGAAACAAATCTTTGTTTTTACTCTACAGACACTTAATTCAATGACATTGCACAGAGCACTACAAAAATATTTTGCTCTGTAGGAAAAGGAGGATTATTTTCTGCTATAAACATGGCAGGTCTGGAAAGGGAGGTATTGGGTACGATCATTCCAGATACTGCTGTGCATATCTAAACACTGGAGTTAAGCCCATTTGGCTCTTTTGCCTGGGAAGAAATCCTACTCATGTTTTTCAAATGTTTTATCTTTTCCTCTAATTTTCATATAAGAGATGAAATGACTTTGAAAATGCATTTCCTGGTGTTCCAAAGTTTTTTTAATTCTTTATGATTTTTTTTTTTTAATGTTTTGGAAGGATGTTAAAGGGCATTACCAAACAATTACAATCTAAATACTATGCTAAGCATTTTGCACACTCACTTCCCTCAGTGTCCAGTATTTTTCAAAAACAAAATTGACAAAAAACTGAGAGGACTATCTTTGAGGGGCATATTTTGGTGAAGAATATGTGTTCTTTGGAAGGCTTGTGGATCACATCTCATGCCCCACTAACAGCTGGAAGTACCACCACAGCCAGTGCTAAGCGCAGCTTTCACTGCCCATCACAGACATTTGTCCACAGACCTGGAGGATGAGGACATGTAGTCATCTCCACTGCAGTTCAGTGCTAGTCTTTTGAAGGCTGTTCTTTTTCAACTGTTTTTGGCCGCTCTGAGAGCTACGACTGAAAAATTACCTTCCCCTGGTTACATGTTCTTGGAATCTCTTGTGCCAGCACTTGTGCTGTTACAGTTACATGGGAAGTTAGAGACCTTATCCCACTGACAAGTCACAAAGAAAGAGGGGAAGAAAAAAAATGAAGGGAGCACATGAAAGCAGAACTGGTTCATGTGAAGCCCCAAGACCACCAATCAGTGAACCAAATTCCAGGCTGAGATTTTTTTGGCTTGTGAATCTTCAGGGTATTTGGGAAAGCTGTCCTGGTACCTTAGATGGATCTAGGTCTGCAGGCTTGTCTGCATTCCAGTTCTCGCTCTCCACAACTTTGCTAAAAACAAGTCAAATGAGGAACAGAGCTGTATCTTGGAACGTTCTCAGTGAAGTGACCCCGAATTAACATAATCACCTCTTACTCGAGTCCCTTGTAACTATCAAGTCTTTAAGTTGATTTTGCTCTGAGTATCTATGTTAAACAGTCAAGGGACATTATTTTCTCTAGCAGAAAAGCCTGTTCAAGTGGTTCTTGATTTGCCCCACCCATATTTGTAAGTTCACTATTCTCTGAGCTGTGCTGGCGTATATGCCAGCAAACCCATGATATAAATATAATTAAAAAAATTATCCAGGTTAAATAAAATAACTATATATTACCATCTTCAAAACTTTTTCTTGTTTTAAGTCAACAACATAACCATCCAAAGAGTTCTACTTGTACAACCACAAGGGAGTGGTGAACTCCAACTGTGGCAGGAAACTGAAGCAGACCTTACAAGTGGTTTTGCCAACAGAGAAAAATATAATTTCAAACTATACTCTTGCAACAATTTGGGTGTCTCAATATAGGAATATTCAGAGAAACTAAAATTAGTTAATTACATTTGCTGTTTCAATGTACAATTCAAGTATATTAAACCTCATCTCAAAACCTCTCATCTAGGAATAAACAATTTAATTAAGCTTGTATATATTTTAATTTATTCAAGAAAATTAATCAGAAAATTAACTGAACAGTACAAAGACTTTCTTACTGCCAAATAAAGGTGACCACGTGTGGCATTTTTCAGGGAAACAGTAAATGTGACCTAAGCCTACTCATCTGAATGAACTCTTTTAAGCCTCATTAGGTCGTAAGTGGACCAAGCTAGTAAAAGTCAAGGCCATGCTACTTTTCAAAGGAGTAGCCATACAGAAATCTATTGTCCTTTAATTTACACAGATTTACTTAGTAATATTCACTGAATCATAGAATTTATCTATGTATTCTTATTTAGAAAATTAGTTCAGTAAAATCTGATAACGGATGGGGAAGGGAACTTTTGCTCAGAATCTTTTTAGTCAAATTATCCTTACCAAATCACAGTCTTCCGTAAGGCGTATCAGAATTCAAGCAAATTTGTGTCAGTGAATTGTCTCTCTTTCAAAAACTGACTTCAGAATAACACCATTATATAACACTGTTATTACCTGTTTTTTACTCAAGTTCTGGTAAGCAGTAGCTTCAGGCGTTATGTTATAAAACAAGAAAATAAATGCACTGTTTTGAAATCCTCCATTACTCAGCTGTTTTTTTGGTGACATTCAACCCTGTCTCAGTCTGGGAATATCCACCAGAACATTTCCCCTCTTCTGTCCTGCAGATTTTCTCCTTTTCAGAATTTCTCCTGCTCTCATTTTTAATCAGAAAGGCATCTTAAGAAATAAAAATATGTATAAAATGTTTCTTTTAGTGAAACTGATTCCCAGCTTACTGCCCCCACTGTATTTTCTCTAGCCTCACAGTCTGTAATGCTTTCAAGACAGTCCACATAATAAAGTATATGAATAAAACTTGTCTTCAGTTTTGTCAATGTATTTATGTTCCACGAGGTTAACTTGAAAGCTGTAAGAGCTGTGTTAAAATCAACTGGTTTACAAATACACAGTACTAAGTACAGCACCTACTGAAATACTTTGCAGAATTTTGTCACAATGTAACTGATACAAATAAAAATGTGTAAAATACCCTGAATTTAAAGTATCCTCTGACCTCTTTTTTGTCTAAAGCAGCATATTCAGCTTCAATGCTTTCAGCTTCAGGATCACGTGAAAATACCATTCGAGATTCCAGGTTAAGAGCCAGCTCTTTGTGGTGTTGTTTCTCTGCACAGTCACATGGGGTATCTTTGTTTTCATTTTCTGCAAACAAATCTCCACCATGTTTCACTAGAAGCTGAAAAGTAAAACGTCAAAGTAAACAGTTATTAATTACTAACTCCAATAATACCCTGAAGAAAAGACATGTCAGTTAAGAAGAGAACAAAAAAACATATGAGCAAGGAAAACAGAAAGATGAGACAAATACAATAGCAATGGTCTTTGGGAAACAAAGATTCTCTATTGTTATTACATAAATTACTACTTGATTTCATACAAAATTATACCTATAGCCACAACGATTCCATGGAACCACAAAAATCTCAGAAATACGTTACACAGCAACCCTGTACAATTGTCTCTGTTAGGTTTTAAAGACTAAAATTCTGCTCTACTGCTATGGTCAGTGCTCCATAGAAAATGAGGGGCCTGAGGTCCTCAAGCACCTGGCAAGACGAAGCTAGAAACACCTTTAAATATTCTTTATGTATGGGTATAACTTGACCACTTTTCTTAACATGGCCTCAATAAAGAAGGCTCTGAATGTTTTTTGATCAGTGTGCCAAGTACGCAACAACTCAGAATAAATAATTTTAAAACATCGTACAGTAAATCTGTCAATGTGTTTGTAAAGTCAGTTGCTGGACAAAAGGCAAAAGCTATCTCAAATAACATAAACCAGAGAAGTGAAATGAATTCCTGGAATCCAGATTCTTTGTGGATGCACTACACGGGCTCTATGAAGGACACAAAAGAAAGCCTGTTTCAAATTGAAGCCTCAGCACGAGAGGTTCTATAAAATCCAATAAACCACAAGAGGTTCTATAAAATCCAATAAACCAAATACTAATATAAATACACAGCACCATGGTAGTTGATCATGAGTCCTAATGGAACTCATATATGAAATTTCTGAATTATTTATTGTAAGACAGCATCATAGTATGGTTTGGGTTGGAATGGACCTTAAAGATCAACTAATTCCAACCCCCTCTGTCATGGGCAGGGACACCTTCCACTACCCCAAGTTGCTCCAAGCCCCATCCAACCTGGCCTTGAACACTTCCAGGGATGGAGCATCCCCATCTTCTTTGGCAACCTGTTCCAATGTCTCACAGTAAAGAATTTCTTCCTAATATCTAATCTAAGCCTCCCCTCTTTCAGTTTAAAACCATTCCCCTTTGTTCTGTTACTACATGCTCTTGCAAAAAGTCCCTCTCCAGATTTCTTGTCAGCCCCCTATAGTTATTGAAAGGCTGCTCTAAGGTCTCTCCACAGCTTTCTCCTCTTCTGAACAACCCCAACTCCCTCAGCCTGTCTTGATTGAGAGGTGCTCCAGCCTCTGATCACCTTTGTGGCCTGGACTTGCTACAAGAGGTCCACATCTGTCTTATGTTGGGGACCCCAGACCTCAACACAGTACTTACTGCTTAAATCTGTTATGGTCAAGATTAGAAGGTGGTAAAAGCAACACCCTTGCTAAAATAGTTCCAGAAAAAATCAGGAGAGTACAGGGAAAGCGTCAGTCAGGAGAGTCCAGGGAAGAGTCAGCTTTTACTGCAGAGAGAGGTCACTAGTGAAGTGTTGGGACCTGACTGGTTAACATATACAGAAGTTATCTAGACTAATGGTGGATAATGAGGTAAAACCTTTGTTGACGATACTAAGTTAATGAGTGAAATGTAGTCTCAATTAACATGAAGTTACACACACAGGAAAAGTAACCTTGACTATACATGTAAATGCTGAACTCTGAATTAATCACTACCATTTAGAATACAAATCTTGATGTTATAATAGCCAGACTTATGAAAATGCTAGCTGTTTCTGAAAATGTTAGAGGTCTGTTCTTGTGTTCTTTAAATTACCAGCACAACTAAATACTAGTCCTCATTACTTGGTAGAGTTTAAAAATAAATTTGATGGGAGACCTTCAAAGTCATTACGATTCCCAATTACTCATTACTAGCCACTAGTTTCACAAACATTAATTTTTAATTTGTGAAAAAAGTAATTATATTTAAGTATGTTAGCACAGATGCATGGTATCTTCTAAGAAAGCTGAGCACTGCAAGTTAAAGACATCAAACCTGTTTTTGATGCACGAACAGCATTTTCCAGTCTCAGCTACAGAGCAGAATAAAAAGAGCTCTACTGTTCTCTCAGGTGGTTATTTCACTTCTCTTTACATATATAGATATGCCTATGCTTACCTTTAAAACTTTTTCTCCAGTGTTAGAGTCTTGTAATTACTTCCAAATTTTATAGGCCTACATGAGTCTTCATGCTGAGGAATTTCTGTCATGAAGTTAATGTACATGTAATCCATTTTTTTCCCCCTGTTCTCTACAATGTACGTTTTGGGCTGTTTATCTTTGTAAGTTTTCCAATTAATGAAAAACAGAATTCAAAAGTTAATTCAACACACTATATCAGATTTTTTCCCTGAAACAGCTTTGTAAATCACTGTGTGTCATTTACTAATAGCAGTGTAAGACTTGTGATTATATATGAACTTTTACCTCAACACAGGTTTTCATCCCTGAGGCAGCAGCATAGTGCAACGGTGTATTTTTTTTGTTATCAACAGCATCAATGGCTGCTCGTTCATATTGTCCTTCATCCAGCTTTGCCCCCTTCCACTTCAGGATCATTTGCAGACAGTCTGCTCTTCTGCAGTCATCTTCTGAGGGTCGTGTCAGGCGAGGATGAAGAGCTCCTTCCGAGATCATGATCTGAGGTCCCATACACAGTAAGTGCATAGATGTCTCATTGTGCACATTCCGTTTATTTGGGTTACCATCTCTAACAAAAAGGAAAGTTCTGCAAGGGGGGGAAAATACGAAAGAAATAATTAGCACACAGTCCCATTCATTTCCTTTAAGTGGGAAGGGTCTATGACAGCTCTGTTCTTGCCAAGATTTTGATATTAGTGATAAACATTCTTACTAGCTAATTACTACTGGACAGGTCTCCTCCATTTCTCTTAGGAATCAAGAGCCAAGATCTAGATGAATTACTGAAATATCTTTAAGGACCATATATAATTATCAGTCTGTGGCATAAATTTCAGTTGGCAAAGTTTATTCTACAGTTCTGTGTTGTATTGCAATAAATGTTATTAAGCCACAAGATTGATGAAATAGATACTTTCTTTTTTTCTACTCTATGTTCTCAATAGCAGTGCATTTGGTAGTTTAGAAAATAGATAATGCCAGACCAGTTTCTAAAAATTCATTCTCCTTTCCCGTACCCTCAGTCAGATGTCAGTGCAGAACTTATTACTTCTGGAAAATATACAAAATACTTTTCCTGCTAGCACTGCATGCATTATGGAAAGACTTTGTTTGCTTTCTCACTCTAGGATATATAGAAATACAAAGTAATGCAAACTTTCACCTATGCAGATGACAGAGACTGGCAAGAATTTACGTCTTCCCTTGAATGCTTCAGAGGCAGTTCAAAGTGGACAATGAACTAGGCCAGCAAAAAGCATCAGCTTAGGAATGAAAGGAAAACAACAGACTGATTCCTGGAATCGCAACGCTGATTCCTGACAGCTCCTGAGACAACACAGCTCTCTGCTGCTTCTTGCCAACAAAGAATTACAGAAGTTACCATCCAGTTCTGAAATGGAAGAACTGAGACATATCACACAAGTCATGTGAATCCAAACTTGCTTTAGCCTTTTGAGGTATACTAAAAGAATTTTTTTCTTACGGGAGAGCGAATAGTAGGAAATGGCAGAGAAGACCGTGTCTTTGTGGGATTGGAGTCAGAGAGACAGCAATGGTGAAAGAATGCCAGATAACAGTAGGAAGAACAGTTCCCAGAAAGGTAATACCAGGCTAAATCAGAAGCATGGCACATACTTTCAAGAAGTCACTGCAGAAATACTTGCCGTATTCCCATAAGACCCCTGACACATAAACCCTGCAGAAGTCACTGTTCCTCTCCTCTCCAGCCCATTCCCTGACTCCAAACAGTTTGCAAGCATGAAAGAAACAGTTATTCTGGAATCCTTATTAAGCCAATACAGGGGACCAGCTTCCACCCTCCCTGCCCTCACCCCCAAGACTAAGTAAAAACAGTTTCAATCACTTCCAGTGTAAAACAGGCAGCTCAACCACCTGAAGGCAGGCACTGCCCAAATATAAAATCAGACCATATTGGTCTTGGTGAACAGCACAGAGTTGAAGAACTTAGTAATCAAAATGTCAAAAGAAAATGTTATTTACCTCAGTTATTGCCCCATGCTACAGTTGCAGGTCTAAATGCCACCTCCCTTTGTCCCTGAATACATACCCATACATGGTATGCCTTTCTCTCTCTCAGAGAATTCCGATGTTTTGTTCAGGACAAAGAATAATCCTGAACCTATTTTATTAATAAAGGAAGAGGCTGCATAGGGTGGGTGTGGAATTTCCCTTTTGGAAATTATTGGAACCAGACTGGACAAGTATTTCAGTAAAAAAACTTAGGCAGAGCTGATCTGATCCTGCGATGGAAGGATGTCCTGATGACAGCTGTTTGGCCAGCTGCATTTCTGTCCTTTCTTCCCTCTGAAAACCTCTGAACAGTTTGAGTTCAGAATGAAACTTACTACTAAAATACTGTTTTTTTAAATAAGTGACAATAAAGTATTCAGAGGAAAAGATAAAACCAAAACAGACTCCTCTGTGCTGCCCTATTTTGGCAGCCAAAATGTTCCTTAGAGAAATCTCTCTTTCATTCCATGATAGCTGACATGATAGAAGCATTTGTTAGGAAATATGAAAATGCCAAACTTCAGATTAAAGATGTTGCCAAAAAAGTGACAACACATTTTGTTTGCTTGGGTTTTTAATGTTTTCAGAGGAAAGGGATTTAGCAACACAGGCAAAATGCTTCACAGCCAATTACATGAAATGGTAAGACTAACCAGTATCAAACACTATCCAATATGAATTTGCTTGTAATTAGCTTTACATAGTATGAAACTAGAAACAGAAAGAAAGGAGGGGAAATAAAGTGAGAAACAAGAGAGAGACAGAAGGAGAGAAAGAGGCTGGGAGGGAGGGAGGCCGGAAAGCAGGCAGGCAGACAGGCAGGAAGGAGAGAACTCATTGGGAGTTGGGAGATGAGAAGAATTCTATAGAAGCACTCAGATAAGAGAATGCTAGATGCCTTAGATACAAGGGTTTGCAGGTACCCACTGAAAAAGCTGGATATAGAAAACACAAGGCTAAATCTAAGTCATTTTGGTCTCTGTGAGACGCAACTTTGGAGACTGACTAAAATCTGAGTTTCTGGTACACCAGTATCTTTTCTTCTGCTCAGTCCCTTTCACAATTTAATTCAATTCAGTTTGTTATGTTTTTACTTGAAGCAAATATCACCCCTAACTTAGCCTTCAATGCAACTGTAAACTCTAGTATGAACAGAAAATGTAAAATTGTTAATTTTTCAATTCAGAGTCCCCAAGTAAAAACTAAATAAAGGTTTTTTAAATTTTATTTTATTATTCCTCCCTCCCCCTAGCCACAGCATTTACTATCCATATGTCTCCTAATGTTTCATGCCCAAACTCTTGCACCTTCCTGAAGAAGAAAAAAAAAAAAAAGTAGAGATCACAGCACTGGGAAGAGCCAGCGGCCAAAGATTGTGAAAGACTTCATGTATGAATCCTTTTTCAGTAGTTTTTAAACTAGATAACACTGATGACCAAGTCAGCAGGCCTAGTTTTACCTGACATCTGTAAAGGTAGCAGACATCTGTTACTTTCAAATTCACTGTGGAATGAGTAGAGAACAGCAAGTGATAAAGACGGAGCCAGATCACTTGAGCAGTCACTACAGAGGACTGTGGTATGGTAGCAAAAGTGCCAGCTCTTAAAATGCAGAAGA